ACGGCAACCGTAAGTGTTGATCGCGGAATATTTGTTCACAGCGCCCCTCGTCGGTAAAAATTACGGGGGCATCTTCCGGTTCTTCCTGCCAAAATTTTTCTACTATCCCTTCGAGCGAAACCGTCGAATACACGAGTAACGCTATGAGACAAGGGGCCTATCAAAATCCACCCGAAAACTTAACTAAATGCCGCCGGAAGAGAGCTATCTACATTCACCTTCCGACCGTCCATAATTGACGCGTATACGTCACCGCCCAGTTATAAATCGATCGACGACGTGACGTTAAACGCAGGGTCGGCCAACGCGAGGTTCGAATAACGGTTTAAGAGTTCGCGTGGAAGTGTAAATACTTTAACAATAAACAAATAAACTTTTATGTTTTAAAATAAAACAAACATAACTGCAAAATTCATAACTAAAAGTAACTAAGTACCTAGTAAATGTGTATAAAAAAAAACAAAATAAAATAAACATAACTGTGAACTTCATAACTAGGTAACTAGTAAATATGTAAAAATCTCTTGTTGTATTAAAAATAATCTATTTAGTTGTTTTCCCAATTATTATAAAATAAAGAAATAGCTGAACTAGATTCCAATAGGGGTGGACTAATTGCATCCACATCATCATTTTCATTCTGATTTACAATGTGATATTCAACTGAATCATCTGATGAGATACTTGTACTTGATGAATGGTCTTGAAATTGTTTCAGATTCAAGTCTAGCGTTAGTTATTAAACCTTGAATTTTTTCTTGAAGTAACAAACCTTGTTTTATTGGCAACTTTTCAAGTTGAGCTGCAATATATTGTCCAAAAATTGAAAATTCGTTGTTGGTTGCCTTTTGAGCACAAACAGATTTTAATGTCTCAACTGCATAGTTTAATGAATTGTCAATTTTGCATATTTTATAACTAGCTCTTCCACTATTTTTTGAGTACGTTTAGGTTACTGAGGTGTAACTTGAGATGTACTTGTAGATATGACAGTACTATCTGTGGATGCATGGTTTGGTTCTTCACTTTCGTTTGTTGTACCACTTTCTTGGGATAGAGTAGCAATAGTAGTTTCTGAATATGTATTATCCTAAAATAAAATTTGAATAAATAAATATTTATAAAAATTAAATGTACGCAATATTTTTTTTAGGTTCCACGTGAAAAATCACAATGGCAAAAAATAGTTCATGGATTTGAAAATATTTGGAATTTTCCCTCATTTATTGGAGCTATTGACGGGAAACATATTGTTATGGAATGTCCATCAAATACGGGGTCTGATTAATACAACTACAAAGGTACTTTTAGTATTGTACTATAAGCCTTAGTTGACCATGAATATAATTTCACTTGTATTGACATTGGAGGAAGCTATGGGAGTAATATTTGCAAAATCATCTCTTAAAAAATCGTTAGATGAAAATAAATTAGATGTACCAAACAATTGTGTGATTTTGGGTGACGAGGCTTTTCCGTTGCAAACATACCTAATGAAGCCATATGGAAGACGTAACCATTTAAGTATTCGTGAAAAAGTATATAATTATAGACACTGCCGTGCAAGGCGAATAGTTGAAAATGCATTCGGAATTTTGTCGTCGTTTTCGTGTGTTTAGACGACCCATCTCATTAACACCAGAAAAAACAATACAATTAATGAAAGCAGCTTGTGCATTACATAACTGGATTCGTAAGAATGGAACGTCATCTAACTGTATCTCAGTCGACATTAAAGACACAGAAATGGGACATATAATACCAGGATCATGGCGTAATGATTCCGACCATTCAGGTTTACTCCATTTAGGAGCACCAATGCAACGCAATTTTACAACAGAGGCAAGACAAAAGAGAGATTATTTTGCTGACTATTTTATTGGGGAAGGTGCTGTGAATTGGCAAAACCGAATGATCTACTAAAAATGTATTATTTAGTACAAACTCTACTTGCATAGTTATACTTTTGTTTCATTATAATATACTATACTTCCTAAATTTGTTTCTGAGTCCCTAACACCATAAAAATTTCTTCTCAAGAAACTATGAGCTGTGGCAAACCAATTTAATTTTGGAGCATATATGTTAGCTGTTCCAGATCCGGTTGACATGGATTTTGATATTTTTGCAACTTCTTGATTATAAGGACACCTAATAACATAAACAAATAAGATAGTTTATAATTTACTTTTCACAATACATAATAATAATGCATTAATTTAATTTTGTTACTAAATACAACTTTCGGTATTATTTAAGTATTAATTAAATATTATTATGTATACATTTTATTTTAATAGAAAAATGTATTAATATTATCCATTATGCATTGGTTTGGTAATATAGAATAATATTGAAATACCAAAAATTACAGCCTTAGGTAATTAAAAAACAATAAAATTAATAAAAATTTACCGTATACTTCTGATCTTCTGCCTCAATTCTTTGAGAGTGGTGAGTCCTGAACTTTCAAGTAGTTTTTCTTCAGCAGACTCACGTTTATTTCGTAATTTGTATTCAGGATCACTTTTAAGCCAAAGGCAAGGGGACCTTTGGTACTCTTCCAAAAATGTCTGAATATTAAATGTACTTTTATTCATTTTGATTTTAAGTATAATTTACAATATAATATAATATAATTTTACAAAAATAAGTGATAATAACGTTTTTTTAAAAGTGTGATTGTGATAGTAAAACATTGGTAGTTCACACGATGATAATTACTATCACTATCGTGATATCCACTATCCACTATCATGCATGCATGATAGTATGAGAATCGCTTTCGTGATAGTTTGATAGTCACTATCGATCAGTTCACACGATGACAGTCTCTCGATAACAGCTTTCACGATAGTAACTATCGCGTTTTGCTATCACCGTGTGACCGTGGCTTTAGACCTAAACGGCTGACACAATTAACGGTCACCACGCTTATCTGTGATGCGCAATCAACGAGCACGCGCATTGTGTGCCAGGTACCTGAACGATCGCGTACATGCACTAACACGGTACCTAATAATACGGCGGACGATTGGTGTTGCGGTGGCTGTATCGCAGCTGCACACACTGACGTGTCCGGAGAGGGGGTTTCAGTCACTTCGGCGGTATCTGTCGCGGGAGGATGAACATTCTCTGTTCTGCGCGAACATTCTCGGCAACAAGTTTTCGATTTGCACTTTGGAGCCCAATGGTTGCTACTAAAACAAATATAACACAGCCGCTTCCCTTGAATCCATTGCGTACGCGCATCAACAGACCAAGACTTGAAACGTCAAACTATGAGGACCAGCGCAACATTGACAGGCACTATTAGTAGATTTTGAAGAAACTAACGACGTAGGCCGGGGACCTTCTACATTCGAATGGCGCTCACCGCCTTTGCGGGCTTGGCCGGTCGCCTGTCCGGATTTTGAAGCGTTTGATATGCCTCCGGTTTTTCACGTTTCACTATCAAGCTCGAGCACCACCGCTCGGGATTGCACGAAGTCTAATAACTGTTGGATCGACGGGTAGTCAACGTTGACGGATGACTCAAACAGTTTACGAGTATACACCGGCAAACACCGAAACGCAACAGTAAATAACATAAATTACCCTAAATCCGGAATCTTGAGGGCTATCAACAACGACATACTCTCGTTAAATACACTCACAAAATTATTCAAATCTGGGTGGGTTTCTTGAGCAAAAGACGGCGCGCTTAACATCTTATCAATTAAGGAGGCGGCGACTAAGCGCGGTCGATGGAAACGGGTGGTTAACGTGGACCATAATAAATTATAGTTGTCGGCGGAAACAGAAATGCCGCGAACGGCGTCGGTCGCGCTACCTTTTAAACTGCCAATTAAATAGTATGATTTGTCAAAATCTGACAGATGGGGCCACTGACTTAACACTGTTATAAACCTATCACGGAAGGAGGGCCAGTAGCGACAATCTCCGTCAAAGGTAGGTAGCGGTATCTCCAGTAACCGCGGACCTTTGCCTGGAACTTCAGCACGCGTCGGGTTAGAGGACAACCTCTCTTTTAAGTTTGACAAGTCAACCAAATCCGCACCTTTCGGGGCTAACGCGTCGGCTATTGCCTTGGCCGCATTTACCAACACCCGTACTTCATAGTGTAAGGCTGGATCAAACAACTCCATCTTTTTTAATTTAACGCGACACTCTAGCACCGAGTCATTTTCTACTTTAAAAACCGTCCACTCCCCGTCAAGATCAGCCACGTTAACCCTGAACTCAACGGCTAAATCTGCCTCATCCTTGACCCGTAAAGTAATCGCATGGATGCCACGGATTTGGGATACCGCGATGCCGTACCATGCTCCAGTATGCGCATATTGCGCTCCTCTTCTTTCCCTTCACCTATAACTACCGGGTAACCAACCACAACACTGCCCGAAAAGACGTACTAACGTCGATTCAGTGGGACTACCAGCCCAAATACACCACTACTGAGCCCCACGTAGAAGCCCACGCTCTGCTACCAATGTTTGATCGCCGATACGCTCCTGCGAATTAGGCGGTTGGCAATATCGACTTGCAGTGTAAAGAGCTAAGTAGATAAAACATACGAAAGGGCGCCCCAATATAAATAGTATAAATTACAAACCAACAAAATTACAGCATTACAAAATATATATATGAATAACCCGGTCCTCTGTCGACGGTAGATAGGTATGTGGTTCCGACGTTGACTGTAGGACGGCGGCACGCAGGTGATTGATGCGGCGGCACACTCAGGGGACACACAGCACGTAATGGCGGCTCGCTTAACTATTAACGGCGGCACACAACGGTCTGCACGCAACAATCGTGGCGGTTGCACACGGTTATTTCACTGATAAAACACAACAAACGTCAAGACGGCGCAACGGGCTCGGGGCTGCACGCATTCAGCGCAGCGGCAGCACAAAAATAACAATTGCAACTTGCAAGCCCCTTTGACAAGGAGAACCACGAGGTTTCGGGCCAAATACGTAGCGGCACCAAAACGCTCAACCAACGTAATTCTGTAGGTATACAGCTGGGCCGCTACCAAGACAAGCTTTTAGCTCAGGCACGCACACGGTAAAAACGCCGCTTTCGATCGCACACGGCACACGTGGTAGCGACGCACATACAAAGTTGGGGGCACGGCGACGCGGAAAAGGCGTCGTGCCAACGGTTAGAAAAAGACAGACGTGCAAGTCACCAAAGCTGGACCGGTGGCGGCGTGGCGCCGTCGTGCGACCGAAGCGATAGGACACCCAGGCGGCTTCTAGAAGGTTCAGCGCCGACGGCGAAGCTGGCGGGCAAGTCGGCGGGCGTGAACCAACTGGTGGTATGGCCTTCCGCTTTCGAACAGTATCAGTGCGTACAACTCTCAACATTAACCCGTAAGTGGTATGGTCTGGTCCCATAGATCGCTGCAGTTGTTGTTTTGGTTTACTTCTTAAAATGTCGTACCACTTACGGGTTAAAAAGGTGGGCAAGTGGGTGTCGCTCTGCTGTACAGTAGGTTACAAGTGGGTCACTGTATAATGTATGATATTAAATTTGAATTTAACGATATAATATCATTGTATAAGAAAAACGATTCTGAGCGGAGACAGTATGTCAGTCTAGGTATAAGACATATTATAATGTACAATATATACGTATCTATGGTATTAAACAAAAAGTTAACCTATAATAGGTGCCTATAATAAATTCCAAATTAATCATATCACAATATCCATTAGGTACTTATAACGCGTTATACGTCAACAAAAGCCGTGATACTATCATAGATATATAATAGTACACTTTAGAAGTTTCAAGTACCCACGAATAATATTATTCAATCACAACAAAATAACTAAAATAGTTATTCTAGGTTTTTTAATATGTAATTTCGTCCAAATTGGAATTTAAAATCCCTGTAAAAAATAACTGTGTTCATATATTTTTCAGATTTTTTGACTACAGAATGAACTATGTATGAGAACTTTTGTTTTAAATTTGCAATCCTTAGCTATAAAAACTGAATATTTTATAATTTATTAATTACAATGATTGATAATTTTCGAGATTTTGATAAATTTTGTCAAAATTCGATCTTTAAATGCTTATAAAAAAAAATTGTGCCTATGTATTTTTTATATTTTTCAACTGATATTGTAACAATATATCAGGAGCCTTATATAAAATTTTACACTTTTTGGCCCAACAGATAAAACTTGATTGATATTTATAGAAAAAAAACTAAAAAAAATTGAAAGCTGTAAATGTCCGTAAACAGCTGAAAAAGAGTCAAAATATTTTCAATATTATATGGTGTATAGGAAATGGTAATATAAACATTCAGTGAAATTTTCATGTATCTACAGTTGTTCGTTTTTGAATTACAACAAAATAAGGAAATCGCTACATGAGAAATCGAGTGAATATCCAATGTTGTAAAAATTTGAATTTCAAACGCTCATAAAAATTTAATTTGACTTCCTTATGGACATTTTTTTTTTTTGATGAATGTAGATAATCTTATAAGGAATCTTGTATTACATTTTAAAACCTAAGATTTAAAAAGAAAAATTTTTACGAATTCTTAACTCAAAATAATTTGCTAATTTTAGTGATTTTTCCATATTTTGTCAATTTTTGAACTTTAAATGATTATAAAAAAAAATTGTGACTAAGGATTTTTAATATTTTTCATCTGCCTTTGAAACAATATACTAGGAACCTTCTATTAAATTTTCAAGATTTCGCAACCAACGAATACATTTTTATTGATATTTTTAGAAAAAAAACTAAAATAAAATGGAAAATGAAAATGTGCCTAAACAGTTCAAAATAAATCAAAATATTTTGAAAATGTTATCGTGTATATAAAATTGCAAATATAAACAACCAGTGAAAAATTCATGTATATACGTTCATTTGTTTTAGAGTTACACCAAAAACCAAAATCGATTTTTTTCCTTAATTTTGATGTGGTTTTTCCCGGCGCTTGTGAAAACTACTAGGAAATTTACTTTTGACCCCCCCCCCAAAGTACCAACTAGATTAACTTTCCTATCAGAAAAGATACTGTTGAAGAAAATCCAAGCACTTTTACTGTCCTAAAACGTGAAGACAGACACAAAAAAAAATAAAAATTAAATAAAAAAAAAAACACATCAATGTAAAATCAATACATTCATCGTTTCACTCAGAATCTAAAATTACATATAATATTACATATTATTATTATATTGCTAACAATAATTAGTTATTACCTACTTATTAAGTTATTATACAAAATTAACATTTTGTCCCTATAATGCAATTCTTTTCTTAGAATATTTTTTAAAATAAGTATTTGCAGATAATTTTATAAGATCTGCTTTTACTAGTTGTTCACCTTTACTTAATATGCGATTAATATGGTTAGTGTATGAATAAATTAAAAACTTACACACAGTATTTACAAAAATAATAGACAAATCATGATTTTCATAAATAAGATTTTTAAGGGAAAAAAATTTGAAGAATAACTTGTTCCACAATATTTTTAAAAATGTTACAACCACCTTCTTTATTGGCAAAATGATGAAAATTTAAATTATAAAATAGTATTACATAGCTATATAAATTAATTACATTTTTATCTGGGAGAATTAGTTTACATTGAGGATAATTTCGTAGTTGTATTATAAAATCTTCATCTAAAACAACGTCAGATGAAAGCATGGATACACATAAACGACAATTCTTAGTAATTTTTTTATTTTTTTTATTAACCATCCAGCAACATAACCTCTACTTCCAGAATTCACTTAAGAATTAGCAATGGGCATTTCAACATCTGGAATTTCAATTTCAATCATGCTCTCCATTGGACTCTGAATGTTAGTCTCTTCTAAGGTGAGAGAATCCGGAGCTTTTTAGGGCTCCGTAAACCACCCACGATGTAAGGGGAACACTTACACCGTGACCTATGAGCCGCACCGCGTGATGACCCGAGGGCCAAGTCGGTGGAGCTCATAGGCTTTGTTACACGCAACTACAAGTGAATGTAGAGGAGTTATTTAAGGGGAGAAAGATAATATTTAAAGATGATAATTTTGGGCTATTAACAAGATATATTAACTGGCATTACAAGTTAAGGTTAAAATTTAACATTACAAATAATAATAATAATATGACAATTATAATCGAATATAATAATTTGGCGCATGGCAAATGCAAAATAATAATATGGGGGCACATGGCAATTACAAAATAATAAGAGTTTTAATAATATTGACGGGGAGCCAGAATATGGCAATTATATAAAAAAATATAATTTTAATTTGTCGCATGCTTTCCCGGACCACGGGAGGCGACACACCATAATATCACTCATGGCGTGTCCTCGCAGGGTTACCGGGAAAGCGTGCCGGGCTTGTTAAAGCCGAAAACAGGGGGAAATTATTGTGAGGGACCCGCGTCTTGCGACGCTTCCTCAAGCGCACAGGTTATACGAACGTGAATTCCGTATAACCTGTGGCTTACGTGCTGGAAAAGGGGGGGACAGGGGAAATCAAACATATTACGACTTTGACTGCGCTGCGTGGTCGATGTTGGCTGGATCAGCTTTCGGCCGCCGCCCGGGCCCTCGTGGGTGTCTTAGCCCATCATGGTTGTTGGACGCAGGTTCTCACAAATGATGGCAGCTAACAAGCATCCGACGAAATCGGTTGGTGACGGCAATTGACTTGTGTCTTATAGGATCGGGTGATGAACATCAATCGGTTGGCCGCGTGGTCGATGCGTCGGTCGTTGTCAGTACGGGTATCTCGCAGTTGACCAGGCAGGTGTAGAGCCGTGAAAAAAGAATGACTTGTGTTGAGCGGTGACCCGGCGACAGCGGTGGTATGTTGCCGGCGGCGGAGCTTTTTGTCGTTGGTGGGGCAGGTCAGTGTCGTCGTTTTGTGGGATGGTACAATATATTCGGGGAGTACAGTATTGCCTGCGGGCCGTACCGGCGGACGCGACAAAAGCGCTGGAGGTGACGGGCGGCGGGCAACCGCGGCACGTCGACGACGAACACTGCATGATGAAGGGGGGAACGGGGAACATTTATTGCATAACACTGCGGTCATTTCTGCATTAGCGCGCGATAATCATAACAATATATAAATAAAGTATGTTAATTAATGGTAATATGGGTACAGGAGTGTTTATGATATTAATAATATTAGTGCAAAAAATGCTGTGACGTTACAAAGGGTACTTCATCAAATAATAAATTCTTTAAATTATCCTATGCACTATCACAATAATTATTTGTACAGTTTGATCCTACCGATTGGTTAGACGTGAAGTTGTTTATTAACAACGCTTTAAACGATGAAATAAACGGGCTGGGTACAGTTATCCCAATCGTGATAAGGAATATGTTTTGTTACCAACGTCAAATATTAAAAAAAATTCCGAATGGGAATTTAATTGGGCTCATGGTGAGATACTGTACGAAACGTAGTCCGTCCCATAAATTATATCCATTGTAAGTTTATAAATAGCTTATAGGTACTTTTAAATTATTATATAAATAATATTTATAATAACATTAGAATATTATATTAATATCATTATTCATTATCATGGTATAGGAAGGGGTCGGTATATGGGGGTAAATCAATAAGACCGTGATTTGATATAAATCAGTTAATCAGATGACCAAAATAACCAAATATATTTTCAATGTGGCGATAACGAGTTATTTGAGTGGTTTTAAATTTAAACTTTTTGAACACTTGCACTTTTAACCTGCAGTATACACAATTTACATTTGACACTCACAATATAATATTTGTGATAATTAGTTAGTGTAGTGACTACACAGTACACAGCGACTATATGGAAACTTTTCATAATGCACGGTCGATACAAACCAGGTAATTTATTTATAATACTAGCTGATCCCGTGCACTTCGTTTCCCGTTCAATGTACCAACTCTATATGCCTCAAACTGTGTTCAATTCGTTATTTATAATATTCGGTGTATGGTGTTCAAAATGTATCTTAACTTTTTCGTTGGCCGGAATAAAAATTCTAATTTGCAGCAGTATATTATCAGGTAGGCAATCTACCTGCGGTAGATCGCGGAACCCGTGCTGTTTGTACGTAACTGTATGATTTAACTCTTATGTATTAAAGTTATAGCAAATTTGTCGTGTTCCACCTATAATGGATTAATATAATCTATTAATACAAAATCCTAACCTAACCTAACCGTACTAATATCAGATGAATAAAAAAAACCAAATTTAACCGTTTTAAAATAGCCTGTCTTCTTCCCAGAGGTTTATTCTATACATAAACATTCATTTATATGTATATATATTTATAAAAAATAATACAAATCAACAAACATGCCCGATTAACCAATAGCAACCAATATATATACACTGT